ATGCCCCAGCGGCTGACCAGGGCCGAATGGGAATCTGCAGCAAGCAGCAGAGCCTGAAAGGGGGTCGGAGAAAGTGTCGCTACAGAGACACACGCCAGACCACATCTTCCCTGACACCAAGGGAGTAATGGAGGACTTATGAGTATGAGCGGCTGTCTTTGAGCTAAAGAGCAAATGCTTCCCAGCTGGAGCTGTTACAAACTCATCTTCCCCTGCACTCACCACGCACACCTCCTTAGTCACAGCAGGGTTTTCTGCCCCTAAAACCTCCCCCAGTTTGCTCCTCCTGGTGCTGCTCCCACTGTGGGACAATTAGTAAGGTTTTGATGTTCAACATGCCCTCCTCATGGCCCAGTGCTGCCAACCCCAAACAATACAAAAATCAGGTGCCACCCTGCCCCCACCCCACTACAAGACCAGCAGTTTGATCAGATGACACAGGGAGTAACTCCGGAGTCACATCAGTGGAACCAAGATCAGATTCTGGTCTTTCCCTCTTTGCACTCCCTAACCAGGCCTGGACTATCAATGCAGAGTGGTAGAAACCAAACTGTCCCTCTCTCTGCTGGGTCACTGAATGCTCTTGTCTTCATTCTTAAGCTTTAAAGTTTGTTTGAAAAGCTTTGCATATTTTTCTCAGTGCATGTGAGAACAGACTTACTCCACCCTGAAACATTCTTTCAGTTGTTCAGGTCTGTTTTTGTACAGGAGGAGATCAGTCTGGTGGGGGCGGGGAAGGGACTAATCTGTTTAAAAACCAGGGATTTAGAAATGTCAGAAGGGGTCATTTGCAAACACCTATTATCCACTCTATATTTGAGAGAGATTGTCTGTCTGTGTATCTGTTTGTTCAAGAACTCCTAAACAGTAAGGGCTGCGACCAAATTCAGTCTGCAGCGTTCTCGTATCATAACTTAAAGCAAGGTCAGGGTTTGGTTGTGTCAGGGCAATGGGATGTGCTTGGAATGGGTTTGTGTCTCATCAAATGGAAAGGGAGGGGGTCTGCTAGCAGGGAGTGTTATACTGTACAATGACCACAGGGGGGCAGCAAGAAGCCAGAGATGGGGACTAGGAGGGCTATAACCCCATTGGGAAAGCTTGTGGCAGAAGTGGAGAAAGAGACAGCTATCTACTGTATATTTCAGAGAGTTTGTCTGTTTGTGCATCTGTTTCTCCCAGCTGGGGGATATGCACCCTGCTCCCCTGGCTGTGTCCATGATGCAGCCATGGAGAGGTGCTTCTCATCTGGCCCCAAGATACTGTAGAGAGAGAGATGAACCCCTCATCTTCAGCCCCACCCCAGAGCAATGGGCTAAATGAAGAAAAACAAAAAATAACTGAGTTAAGAACCCGAGCAACGCTGAGTGAATCTTGTAGTACAAAATAAATGATAAAGTGACAGAATTGGTATATGGATAAGAAGGACTCTGCCAGAGGTAGAGGTTTGGGACAGAAGAGGAGAACATTTCTGCTGTCTGAGATGCTTTCAGCATGTAGGCTGACAATTTGCTGCTTTTAAGTTTGTTCTCTCCATCTTTCTCTGCATTGACAAACTCCATAATTAAAAAAAATCGAGGACTGAGCTTCATGGCTGGCCCTTTATTGAACACCAGGCCAAAGTGTAGGCTGTTCAGAATCAGGGCTTTGGTCCTATCCACTACAGACCAGCTGCAAAGTAAGGGCCTTGATCTAACTTCTCTCAGCTGGTGGGGTGCTTAGATTGGAGGTTCTGGCATTAAGGCTCTCTAATAAAAGTATGATGAGGGAAATGAAACTCCTGTCCTGAAGTAATAACCCCATTTTCATATCGAAACTCAAACTAAGCACAGACCACCGGCCTGCTGATGGCCCTTACTAAGTGTAAATCCAGCGTAATTCCACTGATGTTAGTAGGTCCTTTCTAGTCTACATTTTTTTGATGCCTTTGACTTCAGACTGTTCTGGGTCTACAGATCATTGACATTTTATTATCAACTTTTCAATAAAAAAATAGTAGTTCTTAAAAGATTTCATCCAAACAAAATGAAAAAATTCAATGTGATCTGAATCAAAATGAAAAATTGTAGGGTCTTTCCTTAGCCCCCAAAGAAAAAAAGGAAAAAAAGAAGAAAACAAGACCCCAATCTCTCAAATTCTTTCAGTTCATTGGGATGAAGAGGTCAAAGTTTCTAAGGAAAATTTCAGGAGAAAACAAACAAACAAGAAAGTTGCTCATCTTTTCCCAAAATGTTCACAAAAACGCTATTTCTGGCCAGCCCTAGCTCCGCCTAGCAAGCTTGGAAATGATCACATGTTCAGCTTTAAGGCCCACTGATGGTAGAGAGCAAGGCGGATGATAGTTTGATTCCTGTCCATGCAAAAGAATGTTTGGGTGGAAAGAGGGGTTAAGTTGTACTGGTCACATGACTGATGATCACATGATATGCGGTAAAATGAGGGGGAAAAAGTCATGCTGAGACACTGATATTTAAATTGTATCTCCCATGTTGTTCTGTTATTTGGATACATGGCAGAGATGCCTAATGCTCTAGATGCATGCCCCATGGCATGGAGTTTATAGGGGATCAAAATTTAAATAAAGAAACTAGGGTCATTTACATCTAGGGTGACCTATTCATGTTCTCCCCTATCTGTACTCATCACCTTAAATCTTGCAGCGATCCCAGTTTAGATATAACATTTTTATTCACCGCATTCATTTTAAAGTCAACCTTATTTTGTGGGGCGAATATTTCAGGCAAGTGCATGAGAGAAACCCAGGTAAGGCCACTTCACAGGCCTCACACTCTCTGGCCCTGCCCACGCTGCAAGGAGGTAAGCTAGGTTCCTGACGGCAAGAAAGTAATTATTTTCGAAACAAGCTGCAGAACCGGTTGCTGCCTCTTTAATCAAAAATTATTTTTTTGAGCGGATATTAAACAGCCCTTCCCCCCAAAGCCTGGTGAGGCAAGAATGTTCTGGGTGTGGGCTGTTTTGTATAATTAATTCCACAGCTGTAGCTTCGGATCCTTTTCTAGCTTGTGTCTCTGCCTCTACCCAGCATCGTTTAGGCGTTCCTCCCCTCCCAGCAGCTCAAGGTGTGTCATTTAGGCAGAGCCGTCTCTGCATTCTGCCGCCACTCCTTGCTGTCCCAACCACCACACAAGGCTTCCTGCTCTACAAAGAGGAGCAGCTAGACAGAAGACCTACCCCCTACCTAGAGGGCTGAGGAAGGAGCAAAGGTAGAGAAAAGCCAATTCATCCCCCTGCGCAATGGAAACAATGTGTGCAGCGAGGACAAACGGCACAGCCGGGAAGCAAGAAGATGTGATGTGCCCATCCGCCCCTAAGAAAGACGCAGAGGAGCTGAAGAAATCCACCAGCCCGGGCGGGATTGAGAAGGAAGGTGCCAAAAGCACCGGCAGCTCTTCTCTGGAGACGGGGCAACTGAAGAACTCCCTCTACATGGGGAGCGACTGGAAGAGGCCAATCATCCAGTTTGTGGATTCGGACGAGAAGAAGTCGAGCTACTTCAGCATGGATTCCGGGGACGGGAAGAAGCTATCGTACCCCGGGGTACAGCTTGGGGATGTGAGGAAGCCCGTCATCTCGTTTACAGACAAAGGGGACGTGAGGAAGCCGCTTTTCTCTTCAGAGTCGAAAAAGACCTTCTTCACCAGTGAAGGAGAGGGCAGGAGGTCGTTGTACTCTGGTGGACAGGTAGGGGACCTGAAGAAGCCCTCTCTGCCTCTAGTGGAGACAGGGGACCTGAGGAGACCCAGCTACAACACGGCCAACAGAGCACCCGTGTATCGACCCCGGGTGAAGCTGGAGGAGGTCTTGTGTGACTCCTGCATTGACAATAAGCAGAAGGCGGTGAAATCCTGCCTGGTATGTCAGGCTTCCTTCTGCGACCTGCACCTCAAGCCCCACCTGGAAGGGGCTGCTTTCCGGGACCACCAGCTGCTGGACCCCATCAAGGACTTTGAAGCCAGGAAGTGCCCGTTGCACGGCAAGACCATGGAGCTGTTCTGCCAGACAGACCAGATGTGCATCTGTTATCTCTGCATGTTCCAGGAGCACAAGAACCACACCACGGTGACGGTGGAGGTTGAGAAGACGGGGAAAGAGGTGAGGCTCTCCTCTGCGTGCTCCCATCTTCCTGTCCACTGATCTAAACTGTGTATCGTGCCTGTTCTGTTCCCACCTTGAAACTTTCCCCACCCCAAGGCATCTAAGTATAATGTCTGCCTGAGGGCGGAGCGTGCCTGACGTCCTTGAATGGACATGGAGAGGGCTCTGTGGTACTGTACTAGCTCCATGACCCCAGTAAGGTCCTAACCTTGAAAATGGTTGTGGGGCGTCTGGGTTCTACCCCATTTACATCCCCATTTTTCAAGAGCAGCCTCCCATTTTGCGGGCTGCAGCTTTTCGGTGCCCAAATGTACTCAGGTAGGGCCTCGCTTGGGTTCAAGGTGTCTCCAGTTGAGGACCCAAAAATGGAGCTCATAAAAAAAAAAATCAGTAGCCACGTTAGAGAATGTTGGTCAAAACTTCTCTGAGGTTGCGCCCTTCACCCCATGGAGAGGACAGTAATGCTGGCCCCACCTTTATAAAGCAGTGTGAGAGGCTGGGAGAAGTGGGTCTGGCCCACGAAAACTCATCACCTAAAAAAACCATCTTGTTAGTCTTTAAAGTGCTACATAGTCCTGTTTTTTATTCCGGCAGTATAAATGGTTATTGCTGGGCTGTTCGCAGGGACTGAAGCTTGCAGGCCAGGAATCCTAAAGGAAAGGGAGTCTGCAAAAGAGTCCTGTTGCCCTCACTATGATGTAAGGACTAAAGAAAGATCTTCCCACCTTTCTTTATGGCCTGTTTGCAGAGGGGATGTGGCAGGGTTACTACAGAGGCATGGGTTGAGCTCAGGACCCGCTGTGCTAGGTGCTGTTTGAGCTAGTCCTTGCCCAACAACCTTCCAATCTAAACAGATATGACACCCAGAAAGGCTGGTTAGACCCATTTTACAATGGGGAGTCGAGGCACAAAGAAATCAAGTGACTTGCCCAAAGTCACACAGGAACTTTGTGGCAGAACCAGGAAATGAACCCAGATCATTCCTGAGCCTTAAGCACAAACCCATCTTTCCTTGAAGACATAGAAAGGCACTTCGATCCCATGGTGAACAGGGCAGTACAAATGCCAATAGAGAGAGAGAGAGCTGCTGAGAATTCACAGACACTGAACAGAGAACTGGCTTACCTCTTCCCAAGGGCAAGCAGAAGGAAACGCCTTACCGCTTTCAGTTAAGGGCCTGCAAGGGGCGTTCCCAGGGAATCGAGAATGATCCGTAGGTTAAGGTGCAGGAGGGAAGTCTCTCTCATTTCCATCCTCTCATATACAGCGTAAGTTAAGGTGCAGGAGGGCAGGAGGGAAGTCTCTCTCATTTCCATCCTCTCATATACAGTCTGCCTCACCTCTATTCCCTTTAACATCACTTCGAATCTAAGAGAGGTTCCCGCTGTGCCTCTCCTCTGTGCCTTACAACCTAGGCTGCCACGTTCTCTCCAACGCTTCTGATTAACTCAGGTCTCTTAGCGGTCCTGTGTCCTGGCTGTTCAATTGGCCTAGAACATCCTGATTATAAGTGAGTAACCACAACTGAGCAGAAAAACAGTTTAAATAAACCCAAGGCTTAAATAATGTTATTTCTCATCTCTGTCTTTGTCCACGTATTTATGTCACTCTCATTAGTGCCACGATCGAGACCCTGGAGAACTCAAGCAGGACTCCAAAGCCATCCCTGAACTGTGTTGTGTCCACTGCTGCTAAGCCTAAAGGATTTAGGGTTTTATCACACACTTTTTTTTCCCAGATTACAGGTTTTGGCCGTGTTGTAACTTGAATTAATTGGAAATCAATTAGTTCAACTGCAGTTGCTCATTTGTTTATGGCGCTGGTGAATTCACTCTAGGCTGAACTGTAATGAGAAGAGGGCATTTGAGAATATCTCCATTAGCATTTATAATTGCTTGTGAGTGGTGGAAGCTAATTAACCGGGAATTAAACTGCCACCACAAACTGGAGTCCAGAAACCTCCCATATACAATCAGATCATTCTGTTGCTTGTCATCATCTAACAACAAGGAAAATCTGAAGGGATTTCCCCTATCCTAGAGTCCACTGAGATTCATCTGATTTATTTGTAGCTGGTGCTTCCCAGTGGTTCCTGTTTTGCAATGTTTAAAAAAAAGTATTTGCTATACATTCCTTTCCCTCCACTCATGGGGATGGAAGAAAAATACATCCATTGGAAAAATTGCATAAAAGGAAGACCGTAAAGTATTTTTTTCAGGCAAACAGCTTTTGAACCAATACTTCTGCAGTGCCCCATGACCTGTAAACCTCTGCAAGTCTTTCATAGAGTCTAAGTTCATTGGGGACTATGGTGATCAACTCATCTGATCTCCTGTGCCTTCCCGAGACCTTGCGGTATGTTCCCAACTCATTCTTTAATTCCTAAGGTTCCTTTCCTGAGTAAACCGGGAATACAACATTTGCTGCTGCTCCAACTGGCCATCTGTTATGTGGAGACAGCTGCCCAGAATGAACTTTTTTCTGTGTAGTTCCTATGTCAAGGCGACAGGAGCTGATCACTCAAATGAAACCTGTAAAAACAGCCCCATCAGCAAACCGGTTCTGTGTTCTCTGATGTCTTGTGTCCGTGTGTCAGTTTAGGTCAACCCCCCGGGCTCATCCATCATCTGACAAGAGGGGAAATGCATTTCTGGGAATCCTCATTAAAGCAGAAAAACAATTTTACTGTGAAGACACAAGCCATGCCTGGATCACAACTCTGAACTTTGTGCAGTATCGGCTCAAAGCATTAAAATACTAGTCAAGGTCTTAATGGTTCAGTGGATTAGTCTGTACAGAGTTAGTTGAACTATTCATTGGGAATATTGATTGTGAATGGACCTACCTTTCCTTTGTTAGTGAATCAGGCATAATCCACCCTTGCTTTCTGCAAATGTCCTACTTAATAATAAGCAGCAGAAAAAGAGGGTGGTGGGGGGAAGAGAAGGATAAAATCCACTTTTTTCCCTTCTTTTTTCCTCCCCAACCCTTCTTTTTCTGCTATTTCTTTGTACCTCTGGACTCCTTGCTCCATTCATCAGATAAAGTGGATTGTGCTCGCAAAAGCTCATGATACCACCTACATTTTTGTTTAGTATTTAAGATTCATAAAAACATGAGAACGTCCATACCAGGTCAGACCAAAGGTCCATCTAGTCCAGGGTCCTGTCTGCAGACAGTGGCCAGCACCAGGTACCTCAGAGGGAGTGAACAGAAACAGGGAATCATCAAGTGATCCCTCTCCTGTCACCCACTTCCAGCGTCTGATAAACAGAGGCCAGGGACACCGTTCCTACCCATCCTGGCTAATAGCCATTCATTATTTTTTAAGGTTTTTTTTTAAATTTCAGGCTAACAGGCTAGCCCTCTGAGGCTACATCTACACTACGAGTTTTCTCGGCCAAATTATGCGAATAAGGGATTCATTTGCATGAGTTGCAATCTCATTTACATAACGTCTGATGGTCTGTTGTTGCACTGGGGTTTTTGGGCAAAAACAAGCCCGGCTTGCAGTGTCGATGCGCATTATGTTATTTCGGAATAACGCTGCTGTGCAGATGTACCCTTAGAGCACCTGGTAAGATGGACCAATGGGCCATTTATTGTATTATTCTCATGTAACCCCTGACCATAGAGTCTGAGCACTTCAGTATATTTTTAAGACATTTACCCACATATTGTGCCCATTTTACAGATGGGAAACAGCAGTGCAGACTAAGTTACTTGTCCAAAACTAAAGAGATAAGTCTGCACAAGCGACGAGGAGTCCTGTGGTTGTCAGAGCTTAGAGCTGAACCCTGGCATTCCACCTCCCAGACCATCCTCTTTCTCCCTATCTTTTGCTCTGCTACACTGCAGAATATCGGCCTAAAATGTTCACAAGGCCCCCTTCCTGGTTAGTATCTGCTACAGATTGAAATGAACAGCAACACCGCCAGGGCTCTTTAAAAAACAACACACCGTAAAGCTACAAACCACCATCAAACCATGGCTACCGACAGCAAAGGCACACACACAACACTGATTCTCCAAGAGAATGCAGCATGGCATTTTGAAAAGGACACTAGCTCTCAACCAGTTTTGCAGGCCTGCTTTCAAACAAGGAAGCATGGGAAATGCCGAGCAACCAGAAATCTGTAAATAATGTGGCATAGCTGTCCACCCCTTGCCTTAATACTCTGCATGTCAGATCAGATCTAGCGCAGAGGGCTTTGATTTTTTTTTCTTTTCCCTTTCAAGAAAAGTTTGTATCGTGCAACAGGTTTAATAAAGTGGCTGTTTGAAAAACAACAGTGACGTGCAGTGGAACTGGGCGTTGCTAGTTTCGACATTGTGGCTTCTAAAGGGGAAAGTTTTAAATGGGGCTTTCATTCTGATGATCCCCCTCCTGGCCTTTTCTGTGTTGCTACAGGCTTTCTGCTACAGAACAAACAGTGCACTGATACACACAATGGAGACACTTCCCCACCTTCCTCTTTGATGTAGGGTGAGGTTTTGGTTTGGCTTGTCTGCAAGCACGTACTGCAGAGGTTGTGTGGAAGTTGTGCTGCTATTGAAGGCTATGGCTACACTGTGAGTTTTCTCTGCAAAAAATATGCTAATGAGGGACTAATTTGCATGAGTCGCAATCTCATTTACATATTTTCTGCTGGTCTGTTGTTGCACTGGGGTTTTTGGGCAAAAACAAGCAGGGTGGATGTTTTCTTTTTGTGCAAAGACCCCTTTTTGCGCAAGATCGGTATACCTCCTTTTTTGGGGCATAAGGATCTTGCCAAAAAAGGGGGTTTTGCGCAAAAAGAAAACATCCACACTGCTTGTTTTTGTGCAAAAAACCCAGAGCAAAAATGGATCGGCAGAAAATCTGGAAGTGAGATTGCGACTCATGCAAATGAGTCCCTCATTAGCATATTTGTTGCTGAGAAAACTCGTAGTGTAGACGTAGCCCTAGAGATGATCCCAATGCAGACACTATTCTAGAAGCAGCACGAAGAGCCTAGGTGTCGAAAGGCTTTTCTGACATTTGATCCATTTAGAATGGGCCAAATGTCAGAAAACCCCCCTCTTTCGGAGACCCCTTATTCCTCATAGGACGAGGGGCTTCTGAAAGAGCACGTTTGAAGAGCAAACGTATCCCTGGATGCGGAAGAGTTTTTCCAGGATCCCGGAAAAACTCTTGTAGTCTAGCCGTACTCTGAGGGAGGGAAAGAAAGCCTTCAGGAAGTTTTTGAGATAAAAAAACAGAAAATACCGGACACGTGAAATGTCCCGTATTTCCTGTTTACCTTGGACGGAAGCCCAGCGGGGACAATATTCCCCTGCTGAGTCTGACTGGGGCAGGAGAGTGAGAAGCACAGGGCCATTTAAAGGAGCAGCACCCCCCCCCTTTTTTTTTGCTCCACAACTTTGGTCTCCCCCACTTTTTTTTCCTCAACAGAATTTTTTCCCGGTGGTTTTTTTTTGGGGGGGGGAGGGGTGTTCGGTATTTTTTGTTAAACTATCTGGCAACCCTAGCCAGGAGGGGAAGGAGAGAGTGTGTCCTAATCCTCCCCCTCCCCGCAACACACTGTTTAGTTCTTAAACCATTAGGGGAAAAAATTACCCAGTAGGAGAGCAAAGCCAATAGAACTAGACCTTGGGGAACCCTCTGAGAACAGGGGGATTATCCTGAAGTGGAATGGAGCTGATGAGGCGTCGCTAGGATACCCCAGAAATCCCTCTTGTAAAGCTATGCCGATGTGTGGGATGGAGGGCAGCTGGAGCGTCCGCGTGTTTGTGCTACTCCCAGCCATCAAAATGGCCCCTTTGGGACATGAGCTGCGGAGTAGAATTTAGGCCCGGCCTGAGGCCGCTTTAATCTGTACCGGACACTAGACCAGTCGGCTGTGTCCCCACCCCCCGGCTCTGGGCGTGGATGTGCTGAGACCAACAACTGCGTTAGAAATCCAATTGCATAAGCTCACCAAGAATAGGTCCATCCACAGCTATTAGCCAAGATAGGGAGGGACTCAACCCCATGTTCTGGGTGCCCCTAAATTGCTGACTGCCAGAAGCTGGGATAACAGAGGATGAATCCCTTGATACATTGTCCCCACCCCCCGGCTCTGGGCGTGGATGTGCTGAGACCAACAACTGCGTTAGAAATCCAATTGCATAAGCTCACCAAGAATAGGTCCATCCACAGCTATTAGCCAAGATAGGGAGGGACTCAACCCCATGTTCTGGGTGCCCCTAAATTGCTGACTGCCAGAAGCTGGGATAACAGAGGATGAATCCCTTGATACATTGCCCTGTTCTGTTCTTCCCCTCGGAAGCATCTGTCATTAGCCACTGTTGGCAGACAGCTTACTGGCCTAGAAGGACAATTGTCTGACCAGCATGGCCGTTCCGATGTTCTTACCCCCTAGTGAATTGGGACGGTCTCTGCAGAACTTGAAATTCTCTTGTCACTCATTATGATGCGTTTCAATTTTCTTTCCTTTCCCTTCTGCCTCTCAGCCTATTTGTAGATTATTTTCCCTGTTCTATTGTGTGAACAGTTTTTTAGATTACCCCTCTATTGCTTCAGTCACCCATCCACTTGATTTAATCTGCATTTTCCTGGGCTTTTGATGGTATCTTCATAAGTTTTCCCATCTGCCCTGGGCCCTGGTGTCATATCAGATGAGGACAATGACAAGATTTAGATTTTGGATATGTAAATTGCCCCATGACTTACACAGAAAATGGTATTCTTGCGCTAACTCGCTGACAAGCATTACGTGTTAAAACAGCTGCCTCGCTCCACCCCAGAGGCAGTTGCATTTCAGTACTGAGGGCAGGGATAACATCACTTATCCTTTTAATACTCCATTCATCTGAAGAAGTGGGTGGTACCCAAGAAAGCTCATGATATCATCTACGTGTTTTGTTAGTCTTTAAGGTGCTAGACTATTCATTGTTTTTTAAGTTTTGTCGCTTATACAGCGAGCTAGTAATAATTTGGGGAATCCTTTTGGAATCAATTTTCGTAAGTACCATCAGTGAAATGCAAGTTCATCCATCTGCTTCAAATCTCTTGGTAGAAGTTCCCTTCTTTTCAGAAAAAGTCCATCCTTTCTCAAAGAAAACCCCAATACCCTACGACCTTACCACTCTGCACTGTCACTTTTCAGCCACATGGCCGAGATCTTGTTCCCGAGAATGATGCCAGTAGTGCTAACAAGAAAGCCACCTTTGTAGTTCCACTTTTTCCTTGGCTAACTACTCAGTGCGTTATCAGACCTGGCTGTCTGGGAAAACCCTTTGCTTTTCAGTTTCATTTCTGAATTTGGGGTGGCTATTAGAAGGATAGTGGAGGCTTAAATCCAAAGGGTTCACATCACAACAGGGCATCCCCCCTCTGTACCAGTGGCTGGCTGTGCCATGTACGTCACATTCAACAGCCTCAGGATATGGTGACACTGTCGCTTTTTTTCGGAAAAAAAAAAAGCTGTGCAAAAGGCACTCCGCGGTTTGCATACCTTTTTGCAATCCTTTTTCTGGAAAAGGCTTTTCTGACATTTGACCCATTTAGACTGGGCCAAATGTCAGAAAAAAAACCTCTTTCGGAGACCCTTTATTCCTCGTAGGATGAGGAATACAGGGGCTTCTGAAAGAGCACGTTTGAAGAGCAAACGTATCCCTGGATGCGGAAGAGTTTTTCCAGGATCCCGGAAAAACTCTTGTAGTCTAGCCGTACTCTGAGGGAGGGAAAGAAAGCCTTCAGGAAGTTTTTGAGGTGGTTAGGGACGGTTCCAACATAGGCTTCTCCACGCAACCTATTAATGCAAATCAAGGAATTACATCTTGTCCCTTCACCTTCCTGCTCTGAGGTCCTGCAAAATCTCTTCTGTCTTTGATATTTCCATAGCAACGGAGGGGGAGGGGAGCGGCCATGGTACCTTTTCCTGAGGCCAATCCATCTTTCCCCTTCCTTGCAATGCATATCAGCTGGAGCGGTAGGTTAACAACCGTCAGACACATCCATTTCCCAGCCACTCAACTTGCTTACGTCTGCTTTCCGACCTCTGTACCCCTGGAACTCTGGGATATGGCTCTAGCTGGGTGGTCACAGACCACTAGCCCAGAAGTGCCCCCCAGGACCTAGCAACCATAAAATGGTGTGGGGGAGGAGGTGTTTAGTGGGCTGGTTCCACAGCTACCAATGAGCAAAGTTTGTTGTGGGAGAAACAAGTTTGCAACTTTTCACTGCACTGTTTGGCATAGCTGGATTTCCCTCCCCCATGGCGCAATAGGAAAAAAAGACCCTGATACGCTGTTTCCCCCAACCAACAGGGACAGTTAGAATCAGTGGGTCCCAAAAACTGCTGCAGTTTTTCCAAACGCAAGCTGGCATTCCGATACCAGGGTGATGGGCACCAGCATTAGCACCTAGTATATAGATTCCCTTGACATGAGCTTGGTTGCTTGTGTTGGGCTGACTCTCTGCCGTGTGCATGATTTCTATTGTGCGATTGATCTCCTACGCCGCCACGTGGTGCTCTTTCCACAACCGGATTGATGAGTGAAGCCTTCAGGCCCTGCTTACTTGACAGCTATAATTAAGATAGAGAAATTGCTAGAAGACCTACTTACGTTAGCCATGGCCGTAGGGGCCCAAGTACCCCTAGACGGGGACAGAGCGGTTACACATCTCGTGAGTCTACTGCCATGGTTCTAAAACTTTTTGGCCCATGACACACCTCGCTCAACACAGACCTTTCCACAGACCACCTGCCAATCTCCCGTAATGACCAAATGGGAGGGGGAGGAGGTGCGGGGTCAGGGTGAGAGGGAGGGTGCAGGTGACGGCTGACAGTGGGAGGATGCAAGAGCAGGTTAAGCCAATGGAAACAGCAGGGAAAGTCTCCAGGTGAGCAGTTTCCTGT